ACATTTCGTTACCCAAACTGTTATTAACTATTCTTCAAATGACTTTTCCCCTTTTTTTTTTTTTTTTTTTCTTCTCCAGAATACGGTGGGCCTTGATCAGCATAAAAATTTCAGGTAATTAGGACACTAGCAAAATAAGCAGATGAAAAGAGGGTATTGTAATGGAAAGTGTCAGGCAGTAAGTCCAGATAGCGTAGCTGGCTCCACTAAAAATGTTTAATGAGCCCAAAAGGGCTAGACATTTGAGAAGAGGAAGACTATGCAGGCTCCTTTTAGTTCACTTTGCTTTTTTGCCTACAATTTTATTTTAAGTTATGCTGGTTCCAGCTGTAGCCTTTACATACATGGTATCTATGTTTTACTGTAAAGTCATTAATTTGCTGATTGCAACCTTCACATATCTGCTCTCTCCAAATAAGCACTTAAAATGAGCTCTCTTCACCAATGCAGCTTTTAAATGGGCCGTAGGAGGCAAATAAGCAACAACTCCATCACACCCAAGTCTTGTTATCAAGCCAGACTTAATGTAGTCTGTATCTTGGGAAGGTTGCTTTTCTCTGTAGAATATTACAAAATGTTCTGATTTCTTTATTCATAACGACAGTAGAGAGGAAATCAAAGTAGTGATAAGTGTTGGTTGCATTTGTCACATTGAATTGTAAAGCACAAATACATCATTTACAACAGGCTTTCAGAAAGGGATGGATTCAAAGCAGAAGCTTAAATTAGTATTTAATGTCTGCTTAATTTGCAACATAAATTGGGTGTGTGAAAGGAAGGGATTTGAGTACCTCAGTCTTCTGGAAAATTGTGACCCAAACATTTCTGAATGTTTGACGTCTGAATTTATTGCTATTTTCAGTTCTGCCCCCTTAGAGATTTGAATCTTCATCTGCGTTTTTATGTTTCAATCCAAAGGGTGATGATCAGGAATAAAGACCGTTGTCTTTAGGTTCAGTGAGAGAGAAGCAGAAGTGTTTTATAAGGATAATGGGAATGGCAGAGGAGTAGGAGGGTAGTTGTAACTGAGCAAAATTTCTGGGGGTCTATGATTTTCTTTCAGGTTGTAGGCTGAGGGAAGAATCATGAAGGAATTGATACTACTGTGGAATCAGTAGGAAGGATGCAACCTAGAAATATGGAAAAATAAGGGAAGTCAATAGTAAAGGGATGAACAACAGGAGAGCTGTAAATGTGATTTGGAAAGGAACAGAGGGTAACGTAAAAGGATAAAAATATTTCTGTGAATTAAGGAATCTCATAGTAAATAGCCCTTATGAAAGGCAGGTAGTGTATAGGAGAGACTGAAGATAGAAAATGAGAAGCAGGAATCAGAAAATAGTCAGCAGAGGAGCTGAGAGAAGAGAATGTAGAGCAAGGAGTCAGAGGCCAAAGAGCCAAGAGCGGTGATGTGGAAGGTAAGGGCTTTAGAGTAAAGAGTCTGAACTGATATTTTAATGAAAAGCTTGGATGACAGAAGAAGGGAAGCAGTAAGTTAATTTAGATACAAGAAACCTCCCTGTCTCCTCCCCCTACCATCTACCAGGATGCTCAGGGAAGAGGAGCTAAAAAAAAAAAAAAAAAAAAAGCTTTGAAGCTTTGGAGAGTGTGAAAGAAGTGCCAAAGGAAGAAGATGCTATCAGGGAGAGCCAAGAAGGCTATTTGGTTGCTTGACTTACTATCACTGATTGCTTATTATGCCCCATTAAAGAACTAAATTGAACAAGACAAAATCATGCATCTCTGAGCTTGACAGCGTGATTCCAGTCCCTTGTACGCTGGGCTGCAGCCCTGGGGATGCTGGAAGCAGGCAGGCACTGGCACTGCGGCCAGGAGGAGCGGCTTCACCCCCGCACTGTGCCCTCCTCGGCACAGGCACACGAGCGCGTGCAGCCAGGCAGAGGTGGCTCTGAGGCAACTAGGTTTAAAGCAGGGGAAGGAATGGTCACTGTTCATCTGAATCAGTCTTCTCAATCTAGTTCAGTCTGGGATCACTCAAAGTGCTCGTGCTGGCAGGGACAAGACTAGTTCTTTCAGCAGCATTTGTGTGACCTTGAGGGGTCCCCTCTTGACAGCAGAGAGCTTCTGACCTGTGCTCAATATCCCTCATGGACCTCTACTCTAAAATGCAGTGTTCTCATGATCTGAGCTAGTCGTAGTGCTTCTATAGATGCCACCTTGCTCCTTCAGTGTGTTCCTATTTCTCCTTTTTTCCAGCAAGTGTTGGGCCTCAGTTGAAAGCTGCTAGCTTTTTTCCCTCTCTCCCTCTCCTCCTGTCCTCTCCTTTCTCCCTCTCCCTCCCCCCTTTTTTTTTTTTTTTTCGCTCCCTTTTTTCTTTCCTTTAGATTCTTGGGTTTTTACCAGAGGCATTAGTGGGATGAACTAATGCAAGAAAAGTGGGAACATGTAGCTAGAAACAGGGAGGAGGATAGATTGCTTAGGTTGATATAATCTGCGGATTGTTCCTTTGGGGTGTTCCCGTGAGGATGCAGAAGGTTGATAAGTATCTCATTACTTCTGCCTTCCTCCATCCTCACCCCAGGCTTGAAACATCCTTTAATTATCTTGTGCCAACTCTGTTTCTCATCAAACCCTCTGTCAGGCTGACTGACTTACTAAGGCATCAGGAAACTGTCCCTGAAAAGCAGATACCTTTCTGCTATTTTTGATTGAAGGAGTCCTGGCTCAGGAATTCTTTGGGAGGTAGCAGGGATGAGAGCTGTTAAAGCCCTTATGTTTGTTGAGCTGCATAGAGAGCATGGGGAGTCATGTGCCTCGATCCAGGGGATGGAAATCGGCTCCCATCCATATAAAAGCAGGCTGCTCCCTAGTATTTTGCCAGGAGTGCTCTGAAGGCACATAAAATGTTATTACCAGTGTGTTATTTAACAGCTTCTTGTCTTTCATTCGAGGAGACTGAGCGTGGTAGATTGCTATAGTCTTATCTTTCTTGTGGGAGGTATACCAGAAAACTCCATATGTATTTTTTGCAACATTTGACTTTATTGAATGGAAAGTCTGCCCTTAATAACTGTGGCAAACTTCTCAGCAGTACTATTAAAAATTGGAAATACTGCCTTTAAAAATCCATGGTCTTATACTGGTGCAGTCAGGATTACGGGATTAGAAATGTGTGAAAGCTGTAAGACAAGGCCTACATATTAATATATTTAATATTAATTTGCACATGATAGACTTGATTCTCAGCTGTCATAGCTCAGAGAAAATTCAGTTTCTCAGCCTCTTTTGTTGCAAACCTGTCAGGTCCCAATATAAACTACAGCATCCATCATAGTCCTTAAATTTGTAATGACTGTTGCAGTATTAAAAGAAATTGAGAACACAGTTGTGCAGTGTCCACTTAAATGGCAGGATATCGTAAAAATAGTCACTACTGTGCCTGACCAACTTGCCATTCTTATTCCACAATGTAAACATAGAAGTGTTTTTTGTAGGTACTTTTACCGCAGGGGCTTTGTAGAGTGGTGGGATTCTGTCCCCACTGAATTCACAGCAGATGCACAGTCTTATTAACTGTAATTGTCTCATTTTCTTTCTTTAGGTCAAAATAACTGTCAGACTCTGAAAGAAGTGTATTCTTCAAGTATGGCAGAAGATGCCAAACCTCTCTTCATTCCTGTGGGAGGTGATGAAAGCAATTATGGAATCATGAATATACAGTTTAATCCAGAAGATTTTAAATGCAAAAGGTATGAGGAAAGTTGAGCATGCAAAGTGGTTATATAGTAATGAGTTGTTTAATCTTTGCCTTTAGAGACAGAACCCTGTATAGATAGAAGATGGAACATAGAGAAACAGCTATCTGGATACAAACAGTTCCTACTTTATGTGACATTATTTGTTAGCACCAGAAGAATAGATGTGTTTATTGTTTTTTGTTTTATACTTTTAGATTTAGCACAGCAAACTGAAGTGTTGTCTGGGCAAGAAAACTTGCCAGACTATGTAGACAACTGGCCCTGTGTGCATTCTGCAGGTGATACTGGGAAAATCTTTTTTTTTTTTTTTTTTTTTTGCTAATATTAATGAAATAGTGGCCTTCATTGCCTTTGAGACAATTCTTTGAATTGGAGCAAGCATGAAAAAATCTGGCAGCCATGCCTGAAAAAACAATATGTATCTAGCCAAACTGTAGTATTGTGTTTTTCCTTGAAATTTAGCGGCTCTATTCCCCAAAGGAGCTCTGCATAGGACTTCCTCTGCTATTGCAGGTAGGATTTCTGATGATCAGTTGCTGGTCCAGGAACAAAATCTCAGATCGAAGAGAACTTCCCTCTTTGTGTTAGCTGGAGTCCCCAGATCTGCATTGTTAGATGAAGGACCAGACCCTTGCTGCCTCCTGGAGCTTTTCATGATTCTTGTTTTCCCTTTTTATCCAACATCATTTTTCAGCGGTGCAATTTTCCTAAATGAGCTGCAGATGGCAATGTTGCATCTCAAATCCTTTAGTTGACAGCCCCTTTGGCAGAAGGGAGAGGTTTTGGTGACTGTTTTTTTTTCTGCTGTCTCAGCCTGTAGCTTTGGAAAGTCTTGAGAGGTTTCTTCTAGGTTAACCGGGGCTAAACAGTTTCTCATCTCTCTGAGAGCAAAGCAAAGCGGAAGGAGGGCAAGGATCTGAGTTGGCCCAGGGAGGAAAATGCAGTTTGGGTTTAGGCCTGTACAGATTTGTGTATGCAAAGAGCAGAAAATATAGAGTACTTGGAGATGGGAAAAGGAAGGGTGTAAAAGGAATTCTTGTTTTAACTTGTCCCTGAAGAGTGTCTGAACACCTCAGTGGCCCACCTGGCATCATAGGCTTGCTAATTTATGTGGCTTTGGGGAACTGCTTGTGTCAGGGGCTGCATGTGTTGGGTTCTGGAAGGACGGGTGTCAGGTATGTGGTAATGGAGGGGCACCAAGAGAAGTTCTTGCCTTTGTGATATGGAAATGCCTAGTTTGTGTATTTTCAGGTGTCCAGAGGCACAAAGATGAAGGACATAAGGCCTGTGATATCAGGAAGGCATGGAAATTGTAGGGTGGTGCCAAACAAGGCTAAATTCCATCTCTGTATGGAGGAGGCAGCATAATCTTTAGCAGTAGGAATGGAGAGGAGGCCATGAGGGTTTGCTCAGATGTGGCCTTAGAAGTACTCTGGGGGCCTTTGTAGACTTGGGAGCATATGGGAGGGCTTGTTCACTAGTGCTATAGGGAGTTTACAGCTCATAGATTATCTTGCATAAAGCTACCAGAATAGTGAAAGTGCTGTAGTAGATAAAATGCTCTGCTTAGTTTGCTCTCTTAACCTGCTCTTTAGAAACCATGATCACAGCATCCTTATTTTGCTTTGCTATTGAAGTGTTTTGTGTGGCTTCTTTATAATCTCTGTCGTTCTTGGTGCTGTTTCTTTCTTTTGTTTGAGTTATTTTAGACTTGGCTGGACTTCCATAGTTATCTGCTTTTCTTAACAGTTTGTAACCTGTCTAGTAGGACAGCCTGTTGATGATTGGCATATTTTTTTATTATTAGCGTGCCTGCTTTGTTTCTTATTATGTGTTTAAGGATAGATTGATCATTTAATTAAGTCATGGCTGTTCAACCAAAAACAAAGAAAGAAGGGTGAGCTGTGGAGGCTCCTTCAAAGACAACAGTACCTTGTTAGCAGATAGTTAACCACAAGGATGTCAGTCTTCTCAGCAGATGGGGGACAGAGCCTGTCCTCAGCGAGGAGGACTGCAGAACACCTCCCCCTGCCCCGTGTGAGGAGTGTCTTGTCAGAAGAAAAGAAACAAAGCCAGGACAACTGCGCAGGTGGCAAGATGCTGATTGGTTGTAAGCTTTGCAACACTGGTGTTAAGAAAGTATAAAAAGAAGTTGGTTTGGAAATAAAGTTGTCTCACTCTGCACCCCAGACTGAGTCCGTTTCTTCACAAGGTGCAACAGTTCGTCTAGTACAGATGCACCTAGAAGTCTGCAAATGCAAGGTTTGCATTTGCTACTTGTGATGGATTGCATCGTCATTCAATGTTTCCTGGTAACACGCTCAAATAGGATCCAACCCCCTATATCTGAAAGCGTGGTCTTTCCACTGCTGCTGGAAAGGGTGTCTTTTGACAACGACACTAGTTTATGATACGTGTGAAGAGAACTGAGCTTTGCAAGAATGCACTTCCCCTTGGCATGTACACAGAATATGATACCCAAAGGACAAATCTATGAGTGCTCACATAACTGTGAGCAGGGACGTTCCACCATGACTCCCACAGTCCCCAGCAGACTAGGACTGAAAAAAATCTATCAAATAACACAGCAACCCTTCTTCTTTCCACATGTCTTGGTTCCTTTCCAAAGAAATCAAAGAAATCTGAAGAAGATATGTAGGGAAACCATACAATAGGGGAATTTTGAACTTTCACCTCTTATCTTAGGAAAATGGAAAGGCAGAAAGTTTACCAAAGTAATAGATCAAAATAGCATCATAGCTCTCTTCACTGAAAGTAGATGCCTGACACACACTGGGGCTTTGGTTCTTAGTTTTGCAACTATCCTGATCAGGACCTGAGCAATGGGGTTTTTCTTTAATCCTTATATCAATGCTCCTTTCCTATGGAAAACATGGTTTGATGGCAGGCAGTATGGCACATCATTATCTCATTTTGACATGCATCTTGGATGTTCCCAGGACCTGTCCTATTCCTGTATTCATCCTCAGACTCTCTGTGTTGGCCACTACCATACAGGTATACTGCACTTGTTCCATATATATATATATATATATATAGTCTCATAGATATACTGACTTATTCCTATTCCTATGATCTTATGACAAAAGACCAGAGTAGTGGATGACTACTAGTAGTGGTTTTGTTTGTAGAAGATACTTGGTGATAATTTGTTATGAATAAATACAATTCTCATAGATATTGAATCACAAAATGTGCAGAGGCAGCAGTGGTATATATAGAAATAGCAGCAAACTAAATTTGTAACAAATATTGTTGGGAAAAGAGAACATGATTTGGATTAGTTGTGATTGAAGTTATTGATGTCAAAGTTTTCCTTTTGTAGAACTCTGTTCATTCAGCTCAGACCTAAAAGTGACAAAAATAATAAAGCTTCTTAAAAACTCCTCATCTCTTCAATATGCTAAGCAAGCCTCTTACCTGCAAAGAAATTGGAAAAGCCCAGAAAGACACATATATATTTTTGTTTACCTGTTCAAATTGACTTCATTCCCATTCTTAAGCTACATTTTACGGCAGTGAAAGCAATTAAACCTTCATCGTTCAAGCTTTCAAGTCAATATGGCAGCACTGTCATGCATCCATTTGTTTGGGGAATAGATTAATTCTCAGTCACACTGCTAAACAGATAAATGCAGCTCCTTAGGTTAATCTTGTGTTATTATTGAGTGACATTCAGATGTTTGCATCGGCTCAGAACTGCAGACTCTTCCTTAGTTAAACATCTTTTATATTATGAAAATAACCATGATTTGCAAAAGAGAAACACAGTTGACAAATTCTAAGAAATGAAATGGAAAAGAGAAACAAAGCAGACATCAGTTTTTAGGATTCAGAGGAAGAAAATCAGGATGTACTGCATGCTATTTAATTTGTAGTTAATGACATTCATTATAATGACACATTCAGAGCTTTGTCTTCTATTGTTTTTTTGGAACGTTGATATGTGTGGGTTTTGAAATGGAGTTGCATTTTATTACATATATATTTTATATTGGGTGGAGGGAAATTATTTCTATATTTCTCTGTCAAAATTCAGTGAGGGAAGGATCTGACTCTTTATGGTTCCAGATTACATCAAGATGATGATTACTACGTGTACAGAGACACCACATAGGATCATCTTTGTGCTTGTCTTATATTAGGCACTGGCAACATGCTTAAATCTGTTCCCTCCTCTTTTTCACATTTCCTCCCACCAAAAAAAAAAAAAAAAAAGATGTGAGAAGCTAAGCTTTGACCCTACCTGCCATGGAAAAGAGAATGAGAACCCCTTTCTAGGATCATCTTGGCAATCTGTTGTAGAAAATGTTATTTGCAGTATCCCATGAGAATATACATTTGCCTGGTTCTGACAGTGGTCTTATTATGGGAAAAGATATTTCAGTCTCATATCTAAAATGGAAGGAGGCGAAGTTTTGGTACTTGAGCCTCCAGCAATCTTAATGAAGTGGAATATCCTCTACAAGTTGCTGTGCTGGTGATTTTTTCAGAAGACCCACAACTGGGAAAACCTAAAAGTAGCTAAAACTTAGTAAACTTCTGTCGCAGTTGAGTGCCTGGAGCAAAAACTGTACCTCAATGAATCTGTAAGGAGGCTACACAACTCAACAGAGCTTATTCACTACAAGAAAACAGTCTTTTTTCAGAAAGAAAACTCAGGTACAGTGGTATTTCTTACTAGTTTTAGCATTGGTTTATTTTGAAGACCAAGTAAATGGAAAACAGGAACACTGAAAGGAAGAAATTGAAATAGTGTACAAAGATATCTTAACAGCTAATATACATTCTGCATAGATGCTTCATCCTAAAACTTCAACTACAACTCATTTTATCTACATAGCTTGATTTGAAGAAGGATGATTTAGGTAAAAATGAATATTATTTTATACTCTAAATACTCTGAAAATGGGTAGGTGAAAATCCGGGTAGGTTAAACATGCAAAACATGTCATTTTTTTCCAAGCTTT